TCACATGAAATTTCCCCAAATCTGATGTTTGAGTATCCGTCAAAATAAGCATCATAGGAGGCAAAATGACTGCATCCAGATAAATTCGTGCAATTCCACATGCTGTGTCAGCCTGTCAGATGTTAACAGGGCATTTGTGAAAAACTCCAGCAGAGAAATTTGGCTTGCCTGGCCAGGGTTTCTCAAGATGGCCTCATCATAGAATGAGGCGGCAGTGATGTTCCGTGGCAAAAAGTCGTCAAGTATAATATTTGTATTGGGAACATGATACGCTAGCATGACTTAGACTGTCAGAGTTGGACAGTGAGATTGTTTGCGAACTTCTACTACTCCATTTTTTCTTCACTTTCAAAAAGTGTGCGGGCCGGGGCTGGTTCTTTGGGGTAGGTCAAGCCGCCATCTGAATTCAGTTCCATGAGTGTCAGAGGAGTCTATCGTCATGCTTAGCTTTTATTTATTTTTTAAAGATTTATTTATTTTTATTGCAAAGTCAGATATAAAAGAGAGGAAGAGCTTCCATCCGATCATAAGCTCCCCAAGTGACCGCAACAGCCGGTGTGCGCTGATCCAAAGCCAGGATCCAGAAGCTTCCTCCGGGTCTCCCATTTGGATACAGGGTCCCACGGCTTTGGGCCGTCCTCCCTGCTTTCCCAGGCAATAGCAGGGCACTGGATGGGAAGTGGAGGAACCAGGACATGAACCGGGTCCATGTGAGATTCTGGTACTTGCACGGTGAGGATTTAGCCAGACTCATCACACCAAACCCTATCTTTTTAAAAAGCTATCGTTTTGTTATTTGCTCACTTTGTTACCTGTTGCCAAGAGCATGAACTGTATGATGTATTTATAAGAAGCAGTGGGGGGGCCCGGCGCGGAGGCGCAGTGGTTAAGGTCCTTGCCTTGCACACCCGGGATCCCATATAGGCGCCGGTTCTAATCCCGGCAGCCCCACTTCCCTTCCAGCTCCCTGCCTGTGGCCTGGAAAAGCAGTTGAGGATGGCCCAAAGCTTTGGGACCCTGCACCCACGTGGGAGACCCGGAAGAGGCTCCTGGCTTCAGATCGGCATAGTATCGGCTGTTGCGCTCACTTGGGGAGTGAATCATTGGACGGAAGATCTTCCTCTCTGTCTCTCCTCTCTGTATATCTGCCTTTCCAATGAAAAGATAATAAAAGTAAATCTTTAAAAAAAAAAAAAGAAGCAGTGGGAAGGTCCTGGTGTCCGTGCAGTAGGTGTTAATGACACGAAGGTGTGAAGAGAACAGCTCCCCTGCTTGGCAGGGCCTGGGGGAGCTTACAGCTGTTTGGCAGGGCCCGGCGGATTTCTCTCTGACCACCTTGATGCAGTCTCACCCCCTGTTTGCATGGACACTCAACCACCCCACTAAGAATTCTGCAATCTATTAGGCATAGTTTGCCCCTGTGAGATGGCTTTTACAACCAACATGAGCTTAAAAGTTAATGTTACTGATAATGTCTTGGTGAGTGGGCCTTTAACTGCGCACAGGAGTACAATTAAGCCCATGCTGTTTCCAGACACCTTATTGTGTGCCTACCCATTGCTCTGAGACCTGGCCCAAATATTTAGCATACTTTCTGGGAAATGGCCTGATAAGAGTTTCACAAACTAATGGAAGTGATGGGAGTATGGGTTGAAATTGCTATGACAAAAAATATAGCTATCCTGTTACTGGGACCCTAAAGGTTATCCTGTTATAATTACTGTGACCCCAAAAGGCCATCCTGCTATGGCAAAAGTATAGTTACTGTGATCCTAAAGGCTATCCTGCTATGGCAAAATATAGCTACTGTGACCTTAAAGGTTAGCCTGTCCTTGCAACTCTCAACTCTTTAGAACATAGTAAATGTAGTTGCTTTGGCTGCCTTCATAATTTTTTAACTAGAGGAAATATAGGGTGACTTTACTAACATCATGTATACTTTTGATTATTGTTTGATCATTTATGAGGTTGTAGAGCCTACAGTTGTAGAGGGATTTAATGTTTGAAACTTTTGTCTTAGATTTTTATATTTTTTCTCTTTTGATGTATTTCTCTCATTAAGTGATGGATAAGTTATAGAATAAGAATTGTAGTATGAGTGTATTACTGAATAAGATGTGTTGTCTACTGAGAAAATGTTGGCTGCAACATCAGAATGGATAATGCCCTGTCTTAAGGTGAAACTATCTGTAGAGTTATCTTTGGAAACATTTACTTGCCCATTGTAGAGCAGAAACCTAAATGGAGTAAACATGGCTCATTGCTAATTGCAGTTCCTTCCGTCCTTGTAACTCTTGCTTAGTTAGCAAACTGTGTGGGCCTGCAGACCTAATGACCTTTGGTGCCAATACCCTAATCCCCATAAACCAAGGTCTCAGCCCTTTTCCCATGCATAATTCAAGGTAGGGGTCTGGTTGTCACAGACAGCGCCAAGGATGGGACCCAGACTTGAAGGAAGTAAGTAGGGGCTGGCAAGCCGAGATAAGCAAAGAATGTGGGGTTCTCCCTCACTCGCCTCTCAAGCGGTTGTAAATTGTGCCCCCCTTGAAGCTATGTCAAAATGCCCTAAAAAAAAGACTGTGTACTGCTTCTGTATAAATAAAGCGGACAGCTTTCTCGCGGGATCCACAATGATGTTGGAATTGTAGTGGTCCGTCTCTTCTTTCTATGCCTACTTCACGCACCCTTCTCGAGCTCCGAACTCAGCTGGAGCTGGACTCCGGCAGGAAGGAGTCCAATGGTTCACTCCCCAAGTGGCCACAACAGCCGAAGCTGAGCTGGTCCAAAGCCAGGAGCCAGGAGCTTCTTCTGGATCTCCTCCCTGGGTGCAGGGGCCCACGGACTTGAGCCATCCTCTTCTGCTTTCCCAGGCCTTAATAAGGGATGTGGGTTGGAAGTGGAGCAGCCGGGACGTGAACCAGCACCTTTATGGGATACCGCCGCTTGAAGGTGGAGGATTAGCCCGCTGAGCCATGGAGTGAGCCCCCTCATTTTTCTTTGTTTAGGCTGTTTTCACTTTCATATAAAGTATGCTGACATAAGATGATGTCCCCTTTGATCCAGCTGTTTTTACCTTGCATTCTCTTCTCTCCTGATGTGAAGGACCATTCCTAGAGCGTTGGTTAGGCTCTGCTTGGCCATCACCTGTCGCTTTGTTCAGCGTTTGCCTCCAGGAAGGTGCACACATGTGCACACATGCGCAGTTCTGCCTTTGCTGCAGAGAGGAGCAACCTTGGAGGAGGCCTGGGCATCTGGATTTTGTTTCCCTCATTTTGCCTCTGTGTTTTCGCATACCTCCTTCCAGTTTCCTGTCTTGCTGTGTATTGATCCAGTCCGTTGTTTTCTCTAAACTACCCATAAATTGGCTGTACTTCCTCCTCATGATTTTTCATCTCCCAATTACCCTTCTCCTTGCCTAACCGGATGTCTAGTTCCATCACTCCAGTGGAATGGCTCGGTCAGTCACCAGTGAATGAGAGAGACGTGTCAGTGCTGGCCTTACTATGCCTTCCCCGCCAGTCCTGGCTGTGTCTGCTCGGAGCCTTTCTCCCTCCTCCCTTCCCTGTCTCCTAGGTTCTGAAGCTCTAACTGCTCCTCCAGGTTCTACACCGGGTGATTCTAAACTTTTTAAATCACCAGCAGGTGACTGGCCACGAGTTCCAAATTTCCACTGCCGACTCCCCTTTGGAGCTCGAAAGTGACGAGATGCTAACTCCTGTCTGGGTACTTCCATGTGGTATCAGGTGGCTATGTCCGTCTTAGCATGTTCAAAGAGAAATCCCTGAGTATTTCCTTCTGCCAACCTGTCCCAGCTCCGTCATTCATCCCCTTCAACTGCCTTGAACCTCTTTCTCGGGCCATCAACCTGGTGGCCATTCCTGGACTTTGTCCTCACCCATCACATCCCAGCATCACCAAGTCCAGCTGATTCTGCCTCGGGAACTATTCTCATCTTTCTACTTGCACTGCTTTCTTTGTGCCTGAGCAAATGTCTGTTGCTCATCTCCCAGCTTCCATTCTTGCCCTCCAGGATCTATTTTCTACCTGGTAACCCAGAAGGAGCTTGCTGAATGTACGTGAAGCACAGCAGTCTTTGAATCCCCTCAGATCCCCGAGCCTAGAGCCAACATCAAACGCTGTAATATACAGTATAAAGGTCTCGTGCTCCGCCAGTTCGAGTCCCCTTCCCTGCTCAGCGGTGTAGCAGTCACCCAGCCTTGCCCAGGTCCTGCAGAGGGCTCGGTCACAGGCCTCTCCTGCCCTCTGAGGGTGTGGGGTGGAGGGTGGCAGGGCTGGCAGGCCCCAGGGCTAAGTGCTGAAATCTCCGCTCACTCCTCATTCTGCTGCAGGGTCTCTTGCCCATCGCCTCACTCTGGTATCTCCATTCTATGTAACCGCTGTCTGAGACCATATGGACCTGTGTATTCCCCGCTTCCCCTTTCTCCTTTGTGTCAACTGTGTCAACAGTGCCTGGCACCAAGAGGTGCCCAGCACAGGGGTCCAATGAATGTTCCATTTGAGCAGATGTCTGCTCTGCTGGCCCAGGAACAGATGGGCTGGCCATTCCCTACAGCGGGCCTTTCTGCAGGCGTGAGGCTGTCGGTTTCCTCATCTGAACTATGTAGTTGGCCTGCCTGTCCACTGTGCAGCACCAAAGGTTCAACGGGACAAATCTGAACGCGGGGCCCTGTGGCTACTGTTCAATAGGCACTTAATACTAGCTAGTGTGTATCTGCACAAGCCACACACTCACACTTGGCACACTGAGTCGAGTGTCCTGCCCTTGGCACCTCAGCCTTTGTGCCCCCGCAGCGATCTGCGCGTCTGACAGACTCTGCCCCTGCGCGGCTGGGAGCACTGGAAACCTCCGGAGCAACTTGTCTTGCTCTCCAGGGTAACAGCAGGCGCAAGCACCCTCCGGGCCAGCTTCCTGCTTCGAGATGTGCAAGCCCTGGTCAGAGGCTCCTTTCACTTGGGACAACACAGAACAGCTGGAACAATTTAATCTTTATCATTTATTATTTCTGTTTGGATAACATATATACATATATACAAAACACCTACTGTCAGAATCCTCTTTGATAATTTCATTTGATTTACAAAAACGGGACAGCAAAATAACTTAGGTCACTAATACTGTACAAAAATAAAACTGATTAAACAGTTGTAAAGATCGGTTATCTTACAGTGTTACAGATCATTCCTCTGTGATGGAAGAGCATCTCGGTCTACCCAGTGAGGGCTACTGTGCTAGGATCTGCAGACGGACAAGCGAGTCGGTTTCTGTCACTCTACCGAACAGAATTCTCAGAAGCAGCATGGTGTAGAGCCAGCCTGCCAGGGCGTCAGTCCGCAATGGAGAAGAGCTTTCTTCGTCCCTAACCCAGGAGAGGAGAGATCTTAACTCTAAAACTAGTCCATTTTCCAGAATATGACAACTACTTACAGTATTAGGTAAAATGACGCTTCTCTCTTTTTAAACACCTGTGGTAGTCTTTCAAAAATTCAGTTTGGTTAAAAAAGTAAACAAAAATTACTATCCTGCATTTGGATTTTTCAGAAGTTAAATCCATGGTCTTTTTAATATAAAAAGTAATTACTTCATAGTTTTAGTGTTGACCGAGCTCTAGTAGTCTATCGGAAGCATACCATGACGGTAAATCTAATCAGAATGCTGGTTTCTGTTTTGTGGTGTTTTAAAACAGGATTTCTCACAAAGAATAAAAAGCCTCGAGTTTATAGTACGTTACTAGAACACATAAGAGAATATCAAATGTGTGTTTGTCAACAACTTGAAAAGGCAAGTAGCAACTTTTTTGGGGAATTGTGCATTTTTTTTTTAAATAAGTTGCTGCAATTAGATCCATCGAAGTGCTTGACAAAAGCCACATTTAGATTTACTCCTAAAAACTAGAAAGATTGTCTTTCACTGACTTTATTTTCCTTCATTTCTTTCTGTGAGGGAAAGACGAGTTTTTCCGAGTTAGCAGGTTGCTAGGCAACCTCCAACTCCTCACTCACGGAAGGCAGCGTGCAGTGTTCCAAGCAGGCCCTCCCTGAAGCTCTCTGAGAAACAGGGAGCTAACCTATTCCGTATGGAAGAACAGATGTCCTGAAAACTGATTTTGGACACAGAAATTAAAATTTGGTTTAAAACAAGCGTTTCAAAAATCTGAAACAGAGGTAGAAAGTGTTCTTTATTTTTCCTGACATGTTTTCTCCCGAGAAAACACTTCCTTTATTAGTCCATGGACTGCCCCCAGTCCCTAGTGTTAAAAGCAGTTCTCTTTATAGAACTACCAATACAACTACGTTGGTGAAACAACAACGAAAAAAACAGCGTGCTAGTGATGGCTGTTGAAGAGTCAGCCGAGACCCGTGCCCGCCGCAGGGCCCACCCTGATTCGAAATGGCGAGGAGTCAGGTGGAACAGGACTTCACCGCTCGGTAGGCACCCGAGCTGACACGACATGTCGGCAGCACATGTAAATACGAGGGTGCACCATAGCTCCCCGTCTGTAGTTATCAGATAAAATCGCCAGAAAGCGTTACTTCTGAAGAAAAAAAAATGTAAACATTTCCCCCCTGATCACGGCTGACTCTCCTCACTTGAGGTTGATTTTTCTTTTTTTTTTTTTTCTTTTTTCTTTTTAAACTATGAAAACTCATTGTTCTGCGCACATAAAGGCCAAAATGAGGTCTTGGGACAGGTGGCGCCCGCGGGGGTGGTGGCTGGGACCACTGTAGACACCGAGACGTGAGGCGCAGTGGCGAGGCTCTGATGGGACGGACGTGGCCTCTCCGTTGCCCACCTGTGCCCTCGGTTCCCCCTGGAACTAGCACGGAGTCTCCCTGGGGACTGGCTGCCTACAGGAGTTTCCTTCCCTCGTCCTGCGGCCACTCCCTTCCTTCTGACACAGCTCTCTGCATCTAACAGTGGGGGTTTGGTGGGAACGTGCCAAGGGACCTACGAACCTCCACTGCCATCAAACCCAGCAGAGATAACATCTCTTAGTGACATTACGGTACACTAAGGGAATGTTAACCACAAGGACAGGAAAATGTGGAAAAGTTAATAGAGTTAAAATTCTTTTTAAAAACACTTTTTAAAAGTTTTTAAGACGCTACCCTCCTCCTCCTTTCGTGCCTGTTGGTGTAGCCTCTGCCCTCGCATCTCCGCCATGGTTTCTTAGGGACACGTGTGTACTGTGGAAAACGCAGATTAGAACGTGGCGCTTCTATCTTCAAAGCATAAACTTATTCATCCTCTGCATTAGGAAAAAAAGTGCAGCTTATGTTGAGAAAGTACAGTTCATACAAAGCAAGGTTGAAAAGTTCTGTACCAGCGTGACTGGCCACAGGCTCACCTGGGAGTCGGTGGACCCACTGACTAAGGAAAACTTCTGTGTTTGTCCTAAAAGACAGATCATGCTGGAGCTGTGCTCTGGCTGGCATAAGCACAGCTGTGCTACGGCGTGCTCTGTGTTGGTGGCCGGTCGTTGGTTTTTTGTTTTTAAATCTCCAAAGCTAACGTGATTCAGGAGAGTGGTTCGCTAATAAACAAACTGAAGCACACTCGTCAATTACATGAAAAGGTAAGAAAAACACTTCCGAGTGATAGCAAGCAAAAAAGGGCCTGGCGTTCATCCAGGCGACCCCCAGGTCAGCTCCCCGGGTCGGCCCCTATGTACACCTGTGCGGCTCCGGAGGCAAGCCCCCAGCCAGTCACAGCCTCGCTCCCCTGTCCCCACCCCGGCTACCCTGGGTGGGCGGGAGAAAAAGTAAAGGGGAAAAAAAAAAATCTGCCTTTTCTCCAGCAGTCAAGAGGGGACCAGGTGTGGACTTTGATCTCAGGCTACAATGTGCTTTTTTAAAAAACAAAGCAGAGAGAAAGGGGGAAAAAATGAGAGCCGTGGAGCCCAGCGCAGGGGCTTCGGGAGCCCCTCTTGCGTGGGGCTGGGTCTCCACGGGGCCCGTGCGTTTCCGGGGAGGCTGGGGCTGTCCACCCCCCTGGCGGCCGCGCGGGGTCGGGAAGGGGGTCGGACGCGGTCGGGGGCGCCTCACAACGGGCTGGCCAGCGCCTTTTTCGACCTCTTGATCATGCTGGGGTGGAACTCGGTGTGGCGCCGGGCGTGCTTGGTGAGGTGGTCGCTGCGCATGAAGCGCTTCTCGCACAGCGGGCAGCGGAACTGCTTCTCGCCGGTGTGGGTCCGGTAGTGACGGGTCAGCTCGTCCGAGCGGGAGAACTTTTTAAGGCAGTCTGGCCACGTGCAGGGGAAGGGCCGCTCGCCTAGGAGAGAAGGGACACTGGAGGTTAGAGAGGGCCAGTCAGGAAGGTGCCACGGGTCACTGCTCGCCATCCTGCAGGGGGTGCCCTCCTCACTCTCCACCCCCGGCTCCCCACATCCTTGTACACTAACGTCCTCACCGCAGCACCCCCAGAAGGGATTTCATTTGCAGACGGGGACTTTAGGGAGGCCATTAACAGTCCACAAGGTTCAGTCACTGCCTGCAGTGGCTGTGCGCCTAGAACAAACATGTTCCCAAGAAGGCACAGCCACAGGTGGCTGTCCACCCTCCCAGGAGAGAGGCCTCAGCTTGAACCATCCCTGCCTGGGCCTTCCTAGGACCCCCTGTGCCTAGGCCTCCCACCCCGTCATCGGGGCTGTAGCCACCTGGGCCACGTGGCTAGGAATGGCCTGAGCTTGCCGTTCTGCATTAAAGTGATCCCTCAGAAAGCACGAACTCTGCTTTCCTCTCCTGACTGGCTGGCTGGCTGCGGGCGTCCTCTGTGAGCTGCCCACGTTCTGCCATCGGGGGATGGACGGTAACAGGTGTCTGGGGCAGCTGGCCACCGCCCACCTGCAGCACACCCCGCTGCAGCCTGGTTGGCCCTGGAGAGGCTCTGCCGCATTTACTGCCTGTAAACGCCACCACCTTGGCACCGACGTCTGCTCCCACTGAGGAACGGGAGCTTCTGCTTCTCCCCCTGTAACTTCCAGACTAAGCAGCCACAGCTTCTTCCATAGCCGTCCTGGGAGAAGCACCGATGTCCCGGTAACACGGCAGGCACGCAGCTATGGGCTTCCTGGGCATCCACTCTAAACTCTCACAAGCACCCCAGCACCCAGTGCTGCTTTACAGAGGACAGCACGGAGCCCGGCAGGGTTAAACTGCTCACCCGAGGCCACGGAGCCAGACACCAGGGCCCCACACTGACTTCGTTTTCGGAACTCCAGGCCTGCACCCGGAACCCTCACTGTCCTGCTTCCTGGGAGTCTTGGGAATTTGACAGCGTCACCTCCCTTCCCTGGATTCCCTGTCTCCACAGCAGCTCAGTGTTGCCTGCCAGACACAGCCACCACAGCTTCAAGAGCAGCACCTCCACCACCTTTAGGGTGATGGGGCAGGGCCAGTGCCCATGATGTGCAGAGAACATCTGTGTGTACATGGGCAGAAAGGTTGCATGGCCGTGGGAGATGAGCACTTCTCCTTGCCTGCTCTTCATGCCTCCAGCACAGCCAGTAGCAGCTGCCTTGTAGACACAGGACCCGTGGACTCCTGGTGCCCACAGAATTCTCCAGAAACTCCTTCCAAACTCAGAGAGAAGCTGCCGAGGCTAGGAGCTGGCCAGCGCGTGGCCTGAGTCAGCCCCAAGGCATGCTTTTTGTCCTCTCGCGTCACCTGTGCCTGGGAGATGTGGCAGCGTGACAGAAGCCAGCCAAAGCAACCAACCCAGCTGCCTTTGCGCTAACCTCTGTGTGACTAGTGAGTCTGTGCTCTAAGCAGAGGGATGCTCCAAGGCTCTGCACAGACCCAGTGTGGGAAAGCTGGGCAGTGGATGCTGTCCGCACAGATTGCATTATGAATCCCTGAGCTCGGGGCTGAAAAGCTTCAGCAGCAATGGATGATGATGACCAGAAGTAGCTGGGATCCCATCCCTGTGGGGCATGGAGAGAGCTGCTGGTAGTGATGCATGTAGATTTCCCTGCTGTGTGTGTGTGGAGGGCATGCCAAAAGGAAACACAGCTGTCCCTAAAAATCTCAGCAAAATTGTGGTGTTGGGAGTTCAACTTCTGTAAGGTACAAACAGATATTCACAATGCAGGAAGACGGAACATCTTGAGGTCAAGACCCAGTCCTGTGGGACTTTCCTCCTGCTGCCGCTGCCAGACGCAAACCTACAGCCAGCCATCTCCTTGGTATCCTTGGGAGACCTGATTCCAGGACCCCCTACCCTGCACCACTCAGGTACCACCCAGGCCATGCTTGCTCAAGCCCCTTAAGCGAAATGCCCTCCCCTGTGCTTTAAATTGTATCTAGATGACTTATAACACAACAAGAAAGAAAACATATATATATCCAGGACAGATGAAATTTTTTCCAGATTTTTTGGTTGAATCTACAAGAAGGACCCCTGTTACAGAAGGCCAAGACATAGGAACACCCCCCTTACCCTCACACAGAACAGACACCCCCCACTTTCACAAATCACACAGGCACCCCCCCCCCGCCCCCGCCGACAGCACAGTGTGCACAAGGGCCAGGTCTAGGGTATGCTGGGTTGGGCACAGCACCTGCTGGTTTGCATAGGACATGGGGCAGGGATGGAACTGACCAGGCAACTACAATCGCGTGTGTGCGTGTGTGTAGACTGATACTACTGATGGACTGACCTGGACCCTGTACTGACTGGGGTCACCCCAGGTGAGGTTTCTTGGGGGACTACTTCACTGGCCCACTGGGCTCAGAACTCCCTCCACAGGGAGGACCACAGGCTTTGTGGTCTGACAGGCGTGGTCAGGACGGATGCCTGTGCAGTGGACGGCATGTCCAGGTGCGTAAGTGGGACATGACGGCCAGCTCATTTGGGCCTACAGAAGATGGAGAACAGAACAGGTTGGCTTACTCTCCAGGACAAGCTTTGGCAGCGAGCATCTGGGTGAGCGGATGCAACAGGGTGGATGGTAGGGCACTGTGCAATAGGCCTTGGAGGATTTCTTCAGTCTTGGAGCAACAGCATCTTAGAACCCAAAGCCACTCAAGCAATACCCTTGGAACGTTCTTCTCCACATCCAGGTTTCTAAGATGACTTCAAGTGGACATCCCCCCTCCTCCGGGCACTGATGTAGCCTGGCAGCTGGGAGCAGCCCCTCCCCACCATACAGAAGAGAAGGAAAACAAAGTATTTGTCACGCCTACCTCCCCTCATAGCTCCACCTTCCCCACCCTAATCCATGGTCCCCAGGGACAAGCATCCTTTTCAATTATGTAAACAACATCAAAAATAAGATTAAATAATAAAAATGTGGGAAAAATATATAAAAAGAAAATTGGGCCCGGCACGGTGGCTTAACGGCTAAAGTCCTCGGTTTGGATGCACTGGGATCCCATATGGGCGCTGGTTCATGTCCCGGCTGCTCTACTTCCCATCCAGCTCCCTGCTTGTGGCCTGGGGAAGTGGTCAAGGACGGCCCAAGGCCTTGGGACCCTGCACTGTGGGGGAGACCCGGAAGAGGCTCCTGGCTCTTGGCTTCGGATTGGTGCAGCTCCAGCTGTTGTGGTCACTTGGGGACTGGACCAGCAAATGGAAGATCTTTGTCGCTCTCTGGAAATCAGCCTTTCTGATACAAATAAACAAGTCTTAAATAAGTACATAAAGACACCTACTTGGAGGTGAGTTGCTATACTAGAGGAGCCCTGCTACTCTTTATTTCTTCAGGATGATTCTGACAAACACGAGGAACATTCAGTGATGGGAATCCAGATGAGGAGTTGGCATTCTTCCTCTGCCCTGGAGCCGCCTGTGACCTGTCTGGGCTCACAGTGCAAGTTCATGTTGTAATAGGAGAAAGTTGTATGAAAATAAAGACACCCTGTCCTTATAGGGAGGCTTATGAGAAACAGCCACGCTCATTACCTGTCATTACTACTTGTTGGCTACAACAGCAATGTTGAACGGTGGCAACCGATGCTGAACGGCCCACAGGGTTAGAACCAGCTGTCACCTGGCCCTTCGTGGCCTTGCACTGACCACTCCTCCTAGCAGAGGATGCATTTCGGCCCGCTGTCCTCCAGGTCCTCAGGAGACAGGTGTGTCATCAATCATGTGGTGGAGCCCGTGGTCCACTCAAGAGGCACAAAGATGCAGTAGTGCAGGTGGCCAACATGCTGCAGCACCTCTTGTCCCCGGTCCAGTTCCCGTGGGAGGCAGAGCAGAGTAAACCAGAGCCACTGAAGGCATCCTCTTGAGAGACACGCCACGTGTTACACCCGAGCGCGTGAGGCGTGGGGAGGTCTCAAGTGGACAGCAGCAGGCGGACGGCCAGATGGGGGGCACAGAGGACCTGCCAGGAGCAAAGCATGGCCCCAGAAGCCTGGGCTCACCCTGGCCTCCCGCAGCTCAGCGCCATGGTCCCGAGGAGAATGGCCAGGCACGTGGCGAAGCAGCTCTCTCAGAGAGAGTACTAATGAGTTAGCATCTCACGGGAAGGGAGGAAGAAGGGGGAGGCCTGAGGAGGTGCTTTATTTCTGGCCTTCCGCAGGAAAGCACACCCAGAGGCTGTGACAATAAGCTTTACTGGAGCAGAGCTGTGAACGCACAGGCCGCTCGCAGGTCTCATTATCCATACGCTGCATCCCGCCCCTAGCAGCAAGAAGCTGAGCACCTCCTCTTAGCAGAAAATACCCTGTTCACAGAAGCTACCACCCAGCCCACCACTCGGGTCAGGATCTCAACTCTCCTGGGCCTGCAGGGGTGGGGGGCACCAGGGAAGTGCAGTGGGGCTGGCTCACGGTCCACCC